TGTTATGGGTACTAGATAACTGATACATATACATAGATATTTTTTTTTTGTAAATACATACATATTATACATAGAAAACACCCAGACCGATACAAACAATCATACTCATGAATACAATAATAAGGTTTCTTAAGGGTCGACAACGCGCACGTGATACGCCTGGTGTTTCAGGCGTCCATAGGCTACGGTAACCATTTACCATCAGACGGGCCGTATGCTTGTTTGCCACTATAGTAATAAAAAATATATTTGTTATTTTGATTACTTATTTAAAAACTTCATCATCTGTGACAAAAACTTCATCATCTGTGACACATGATGTGAATCATTACACTTAAAATGACTGTAATAAATATTTGCATATCGTTATTTAATAAAGTATGCAATTTACCAGACGGTGGGCCTTTATTGAGGCCAACGGGTCGTCGGTGCGAGGCTGTACAGCCAGTTTCCTAGGCACAATACTAATCGACGTCGGTTTCGTCCGTTTAAGCTGTAAAGACTAACAATCTAAATATATATATATAACTCAAAGGTGACTGACATAGTGATCTATCAACGCACAGCCCAAACCACTGGACGGATCGAGCTGAAATTTGGCATGCAGGTACATGTTATGACGTAGGCATCCGCTAAGAAAGGATTTTGATTAATTCTACCCCCAAGGGGATAAAATAGGGGATGAAAGTTTATATGAAACTTTGTCAATTTTAAACCGATCGGACTGAGACTTTGCTTGCATAATGCTACTATGACGTAGGCATCCCCTAAGAAATTATTTTGATAAATTCCATCCCTAAGGGGATAAATTAAGCCGAAGCCGCGAGCAAAAGCTATCTATTCCTTGAAGTCTGCCAAAGAATTACGAATATAAAAATATAATTAATTGTCTGTTTATTTGCTTGTTATAATGTCACACCTCGATCATAATCAAATTTGACAAATATAACGTCCGTAGTATTTGCAACTAGTGAGAAGTACATAGACTATTTTTATTAAAAAACTCTTTTGATATCAATATATTTATAGTTTAATTTTGTACTAGCTTTTGCCCGCGGCTTCACCCGCGTTAATTTATCCCTTAGGGGTGGAATTTATCAAAATCCTTTCTTAGGGGATGCCTACGTCATAGTAGCTTTGTGCATGCAAAGTCTCAGCCCGATCGGTTTAAAATTGACAAAGTTTCATACAAGCTTGTCCACCCCTAACAGTATTTTTTTATTTTTTGGGCAAAATTTTTTATTTATATATTTTTATTATTGACGACCTCGGTGGTCTAGCGGTCTAGCACACCGCTTTACGACCGATGGTCGCGGGTTCGATTCCTCGCACGGCACAAACATTTGTATTCATGAGTATGATTGTTTGTATCGGTCTGGGTGTTTTCTATGTATAATAGTATTTAAAAAAAAATATCTATGTATATGTATGAGTTATCTAGTACCCATAACACAAGCTCTAGCTAGCTTAACTTGGGTCTAGATGGCTCTGTGTGAATTGTCCTGAGATTATTAATTATATTATATTATTATTATTATTATGTGTAATTAAAAAACACATACAACCCTAAATTTTCACCCTTCTATCACCAACCCCTATTTTTTATAGCGTTATTAATTTATATGACAAACAAAGTTTGCCGGGACAGCCAGTTCAACTATAGTTGAAGTATAGTCAGCGGGCTGTACCGCTACACGTAACTATGGATGACAAGTTTTATGAATATCGAATACTCGTTATATACAGTTATGGAGATGCGGGCATACAATCATATTCATTAGTCGGCAATTTAAATAATTAAAAATAAAAATCTGTTAAACCATTTCTTAAATTGGGGCACACAAACACACAGAAACATAATTTGCATTAACAATTATTGTTTTACGGTTATATTACGTTGATAAATTAAATAAAAATATATATTCAATTGAGTTTCTTGCCAGTTCTTCTCAATTGGATCTATATACTGAACTGGACGGTAAAGAGAAAATATAATATAAATTTTTAATTGGCGCACACAAACAAACAAGTATACAATTTGCATTAACAATTATTGTTTTACGGTTGTATTACGTTGATAAATTAAATAAAAATATATATTCAATTGAGTTTCTTTCCAGTTCTTCTCAATTGGATCTATATACCGAACTGAAAAAATTATAATATAAAAATGTAACGTTCATAAGCCGCTAAAATGTGCTACGTGAAAAATATATTTTTGATTTTGAATTTGAATAAAGTTAGCTAGTAATAGTGTTTATTATATAATAAAATGTTCGACGTTCTTAGCGGCTAAAATGTGCTACACGAACAAATTATTTTGAATTTGAATAAAGTTTTTATTATATAACTATAGAGACAGAGATCGTTTATATATATACTGGCCACGCCTACGGATTCACACACATGAAATTTATAACCTATGTGTTATTCTGATGTGTACGCTATCTAGTCAATTTTAGTAGCTATTTATACTAGCTGTACCCGTGACTTCGTCTGCGTGGAATTTAACAAATAAGTTATTTAGATAATTTTTCTAAAATAAACGTAGCCTAAACTAGTTACTCCTTATTACATCAGCTACCTGCCAATAAAAGTCCCGTCAAAATCAACGAACAGATAGACAGACAAAAATTGTAATATATATATATAGTAATAATATATAGTACATAAATTGTTGTTTTGAATTTATTTAAGGGTAATTTCAATACATCCTTTGGTATCTTATTGTAAATTTTTATACCTATTCCAATAAAAGACGTATTGACTTTTTCTAAACGATACTTGGGGACAGCAAGTTTGTCTTTAAATCTAGTATTAATATTATAATAAAATTTGATGATACGATGCGACACTTTAGCTAGGATTGTATACGTCACTGTAACGGCAATTACTGGACCCAGCCGTCTATCGGTACACATCACGATACAAACATATATAAATCACTTATTTCATCACCCGCCGATACCCTGCATTCACGAATTATCGCTTTGCTGCATTCCAGTGGTCTAGTTACACCGGAAGAGTTTCCCTCCGATCGATCCCCCGTCCAATTCAAACGGGGATCGAAATTATGACGGCCTGAGCCGAGGTTGGAACCCCTAGCGGTGCCCTCACACTAAAGTCGTATCCGTCAGGCGCGAGTTGGACTTTAGCCGCTCCATAAGTCCTTCCTTTGGTTTGGAGTGCCATCTACACTCGCCTCCTATCGTCCAGTGAAGCTGTAAAGGCCAGCTGCGGACAACAGCAATAGAGCAGACAAATTAGTAAAGTAGTAATATAATAATAATAATAATAATCTCAGGACAATTCACACAGCGCCATCTAGACCCAAGTTAAGCTAGCTAAAGCTTGTGTTATGGGTCCTAGACAACTGATACAAATACATAGATAATTTTTTTTTTTCGTAAATACATACATATTATACATAGAAAATACCCAGACCGATACAAACAATCATACTCATGAATACAAATGTTTGTGCCGTGCGAGGAATCGAACCCGCGACCATCGGACGTAAAACGGTGTGCTAGACCGCTAGACCACCGAGGTCGTCAATATAGATATAATATCAATATAGATATAAGAATTATTTTCGACTGCTGCGACTGGTCTATACGTCACTGTAACGGCAACTAACGGACCCAAGCTGTCTATCGCCACACATTACGATACAAACATACATATGTACATCACTTATTTCATCATACGCCGATACCCTGCATTCAATTGTTGCATTGCTGCATTCTAGCAGTCGAGTTGCACCGGAAGAGTTATCGTCCGTGAGTAAAATACACCCAAATCTACGTTTAGTATATCTTATATATAAAATTCTCGTGTCACAGTTATCGTTCCCATACTCCTCCGAAACGGCTCGACCGATTCTCATGAAATTTTGTGAGCGTATTGAGTAGGTCTGAGAATCGGCCAACATTTATTTTTCATCCCCCTAAATGTTAGGGTAGTCCACCCCTACATTTTTATTTTATTTTAAGGCAAAACAACTTTTGCCTGGTACAGCTAGGTACATATAAAGATGTATGTCTGATAGAACAGAAAATGAAATTGTCTTTATTCAAATAGCAGTTTGTCTCGGAACAAAAAATAGTACGGTGAGACGCAGATTCAGACTAGGAACTCAGTCATGTATAAGAAAAAAATGCCTATTTTTGTTACTAACGAGTAAGTTGTCGGTTTTTATATAAATGTATACAGTAGCGCCGTCTGTCTGTATATACGTGTATACAAACGGCCGCCATTATGCACTTAGAAAGTTCAACATTGTCTAGCCTAGGCTTTCGAGCGTTAGATTTCAGTCGGGATTGGAAAAGGGCGAGGAGTGCGGGGTGAAGGCAGTGAGTTTCGTGCATAGCTTTCGGCGCGCGCGAGCTTACAAATAAATAAACCAGTTTCCGTTCCCCCCGCCCGCGCCCTCAACGCCTTGTGTTTCTTGCTATCTGTATCGGCCCGCGGCACTCGTGCAGCCTCCATCCACGCTGTATACAATATGTTTAAGGCACGAAATTTTGTCTTATCCCTCTTAGATTGCAGGTTTTATGTCTCAACGTTATTTTGCAGAAAAAAAAACAATTACATATAACAATAACAAAACTAAGTATGAATTGATAAAAGCTCACAAAAGTTTCAATCGTTAGGTAAGTTTGCTCGTGAGCTTTAAGCACTGCTTTCAGTTACTATTGCATTAACGTCGACGTTTGGAATGCTGCACGTTGTTACATTTTACTCGACATTTCCTCCCCGAACCTTCAACAGCTGGTCATTACTCATTACGAAGCAACATTCCTGCTATTTGTAGATTCTACCAAATAATATAGACACAGGTTTCGTAGTCGATTTGAGGTCGATCGCCTAATGATCTGGGCACCGCTTCTAGTTCGAAGTAGGTATCGCGGCATGCGGCGGCGGGGCGGGGCGAGGGGCGGGCGGCAGGGGGGTGAGCGGGCGGCGCGCGCGCAGGTTCGGCAGTACGCGGATACACGCGCTCGAGAAAGGTCGCCGCTGTCGGCAGGTAGCGGCGCGGCCGCGGAGTGTGATGAGAGCGCGCCGCCCGCCATGGCCACGCTCGGCCTTTCCAAGGTGTTCATCCTCGACAAGTACTTCACGGAGCTGCAAAAGTTTTGGGAAACGGAGAAGAAGCTGCAAGGTGAGCGAGCTAGCGCCGCCCCCCCGCCTGCCCTGCGCCCTGTGCGGAGCTTACGCTCGCCGCCCGCGCCTCCTCCGCTCCGCTCGCCGACGGGACCCTGTGATCGGTGTTATTTGTTTTCGTGCTCGTCCAGAACCACCGCGACTCACCTGTGTCTGTTGAACGTCATTCACCGAGTACAAACGTAATCCTGCTCGAAGGACCAATACTATAACGACAACGCGGCGCCTTATTAATTCTAGTTGCGTTTACTAAGACATCCGATTGTGATCCGTGATGACTCACTGAAATGTTCGTTTCCTTATAAACGCATCGATTAAGCCTCCGATAATCGATCAATTGAATCGATTAAGAATGTTTTTACCTTCGTATAAATAACCGTTTTTCCTTGTTTATTATGATCAACGACTATTAGACTAAGGTCTAAAGTCTATTAGGGGTAGCTATACTAAAAATTCTGAGGTGAATTTGTTTGTTTAGAAATAGAAATAATCTTTATTTAAATAAACTCATTACAAGCACTTTTGAATAGTCATATTTTGATTCTACCACTCATTCGGAATGCAGATTCATCACAAGAAGAATGAGCAAGAAACTTGTGTGTTGCTCTTTTTAATAGATGTTTTTTTTATATAAATAATTACAGTATAACAAGTATGAGGCATGCGATAATCAACATAGAAGTCGCTACGCACTCATTATTAATGTAATCAGATAATATTGTCAGTGCTATAGATTTAAAGTTTTTCTATAAAAACATTATTATCGTCAACGAATTCTTCAATGTTTGTTTGTTACGTTCTGGCACATTAACTACTTATCCAATATTCTAAACATTTACCAAAATTTAAGAAGATTGGTGTAACAATACAATACAATTTATTCATATCTACCTGTTCCCGCGACTTCGTCCGCGTCGAATTTTATTTTATTTTTCTAAAATAAAAGTAGTCTAAGTTACTCCTTATTACATCATCTACTGCTAAAATAAGTCCCGTCAAAATCGGTCCAGCCATTTCAGAGATTAGCCGGAACAAACCGAGACAGACGCATAAAAAAATATATTTTAGTGTCTGTACCAAAACTGTAGAAACGGTAATTTCACAAGACACTCCAGACACACAAACAGACACTCCAATTTTATTTATACGTAAAGATTTGTAGGGAGCTGAACTGTGAATTAATTTTATGCAGTTTCTATAAGGTGCCATTTTTAATTTAGTAGGGTCTCTTTATGTAAATTTGCAAACAGACAGACAGACAAAAATTGTAAAAAGTGTGATTTTGGTGTATGTACCGTGTTTATATTCATGTGTGTTGTTTTCGGCCTTCCTCTACCCTTATAACCATCCATATTCATATGTAACACCTTCTTTAGGATATGATCTTCATTCCTACGCATTACATGTCCATACCACGATAGACGATTACTCTTCAACCTCTCCGACACCGGCGCCACTTTCATACTTCCTCTGATGTAGGAACTCACGTATACTTCAAATATATCACGAACCGCGTATCTATACATATAAATAAAATTGGAGTGTCTGTTTGTAATATTGAAATAAACGTTTTTTACTACATGCATATGAATATAAATACGGTACATACACCAAAATAACATTTTTTTACGATTTTTGTCCGTCTGTTTGTTCCGGCTAATCTCTGAAATGGCTGGACCAATTTTGACGGGACTTTTATTGGCAGGTAGCTAATGTAATAAGGAGTAACGTAGGCTACCATTATATTAGAAAAATAATTTTTTTATTATTTTCCACGCGGACGAAGTCGCGGGAACGGCTGGTATAAAATAAAATCGCGGTCGCTGTCCGTCCCTATGTATGCTTAAATCTTTAAAACTACGCAACGGATTTTGAAGCGGTTTTTTTTAATCGATAGAGTGATTCAAGAGGAAGGTTTATATGTATAATACATGTACACCCGTGCGAAGCTAGGGCGAGTAGCTAGTAAAATATAAATATCTAATAGTTCATAAATGGCCACACTAATTTCGTTATGTGGCCTCACTGGTTTCGCATTCATACTACGTGAGGTTATCGAACGACGCAAATGCAATATATATATATATGTATATATCATATATATATACTATGCTGTCCCGACAAACGATGTTTTGCCGTATAAATTAATAACGCTATAAAAAATAGGGGTTGGTGATAGAAGGGTGAAAATTTGGAGTTCTATGTATTTTTTAATGAGACGAAACAAATAAATATAAGTAACAAATTATGCCTAAAAATTAAAAAAATAATGTTAGGGGTGGATTGCCTTATCACTTAGGGTAGATAGCCAATTCTCAGACCTACTGAATATGCATATAAAATTTCATAACAATCGGTCAATCCGTTTCAGAGGAGTATGCTAACTAACATTTGACACGAGAATTTTATATATAAGATTATGAATTATACTGAACTACAAAAATTTACGTCTGTACTTTACTTATAACTACTCACACAACGTTGTCCAACGTTGCGTATATATTTTTATAGTTTTATTTTGCACAGAAGCAATTAATTTCTTACGACCATGACATAACAATCGTTTACATTTTATTGTTGGATGTATGTATAATAATATGAACACGAGAATTTTATATATAAGATGTACATGAGTAACAAAATTACGCAAAACTGCATCGCAGGCCGCGGCGGCTAACGGCACGTAATATATAGTGGAGGGCTGCAGGGTGGGGGGCGGGGGGCGGGGGGCGGGCGCCGCACTACCTCCGGGCGCAGGCGCAGGTACGAGCGAGTACCTGCGCGGGCGCACAGGTAGCGCGGATATGTGTAACGTCGGTGCGCAGTTCAGAGAGTATTTGGACAATTTTCCTGTTATGAATATCTTGAGATGTATTTAATACTAGCTGTGCCCTCGACTTTGTCCGCGTGGAATTGAACTTTATTTTTCTAAAATATAAGTAACCTAAGTTACTCCTTATTACATCAGCTATCTGCCAAAAAATGTCCCCTCAAAATCGGTCCAGACATATCAGAGATTAGCCGGAACAAACAGACGGACATTAAAAAATTGTAAATATTTTTATTTTGGTGTATGTACCGTATTTATATTCATATGCATGTAGGAAGAAACGGTTATTTCAATATTACAAACAGATACTCCAATTTTATTTATATGTATAGATTTTCTGTTATACATGATTATGGATTCGTTTATAATCATAGTTATTTTTTTTTACATTGTTATTAGAATAGAATAGAAAGAATAGAAAATCATTTAGTCAAATAAACTTAATTTAAGCACTTTTGAATAGTCAACATTTTTTTAAATCTACCGTTTATTCGGAAAGCTGTCTCATCACAAGAAGAATAAGCAAGAAACTTGTGTGTTGCTCTTTTAAACAATCCTCGTAAGTTCACATTTTACAAGTCGAAACGTGTGAATACAAACTACCAACCAGCACTAATTTATTTAGGCTCAAATATAAAAACACAATAAAATTAAATCAGTCGTAGTGATAAGAGCAGACAAGTCCCTACAAGCAGCACTCGTTCTACTTTAAAAAGTATACATTTTTTATATGCAGTGCATTTAAAAAAATGTATATAATGATGAGTATGAACTATACGTATATATCATTATTTTTCTAAAATAAAAGTAGCCTCCTTAACTTAACGCTAGTTTTATTTTAGAAAAATAAATAATTAGACATATACTCAACATTTATAAATATTATGTATGTGTGTGTATGTATGTATGTGTGTGTGAGTGTGTGTGCGGCACGCGGCCGGCGTCCGGTGCAATTACCGGGCACCGGCGCGAGCGCATACTTTTTGCTCCCATCGCGACTCACCTGAGAACTACAACAATATGCAATCTGTCGATAGATGAAGCACTTTAATTTATACGTTGTTATATAAAGTGCAACAGTAATATCGCTTATTGAATTCCACAGTTTTTTTGTATAAATGTTACTCATTTATTAGATCTTATGGGATGACAGAGTACAATTACAATGTACCACTACTTGTCGTCATCACCAGGACTTCGTTTATAGGAAAAGTTTATTAGATTTTCTTCTCTTCTTCAACAATTCCTCATCGATTCGCCATCCAACTGAAACGGGAATGGAAATTACACAGTCCTGGGCCGAAGTTTGAATACCTATGCACAGTATCCATCAGGGAGTTGCCTTCAGATGCTCCAAAAGTCCTACCCGAGTTTTTTTTTTCTCTATTTTATTATTTCATTGAATTTGTGCTAATCGGTGGTTTGTATTCACACACTTAAACTTAAATTGTAAGTAAGAATAAATTATTTAAAAGAGCAACACACAAGTTTCTTGCTCGTTCTTCTTGTGATGAGACAGCATTCCGAATGAGCGGTAGATTAAAAAAAAAATGTTATGACTATTCAAAAGTACTTCAATGTAAGTTTATTTGAATAAATGATTTTCTATTCTATTCTATTATTCTATTCTAGGAGTGCTATCTGCACTCGCCTATCGTTCGGTGAAGCTGTAAAGGCCAGCTGCGGCTAACAGCATTAGAATTGTTTAAAAAAAGCAGTTCCATAAGTCCTTCTGTAGGTTTAGCGTGCCATCTCGCTGCATATCTTTTGGTGAAGCTGTAAAGGCCAGCTGCGGCCAACAACATTAGAACTGTTTGAAAAAAAGGAGCTTGCAACCAATAACTAATTGTAACTGTAAAATCTATTTACAACACGGAAGGTAAAACGTCACGTCACGTCTTGTCACGTCACGTCACCACTCTCGGCTGCTCACGACGTTTAGTTTTCGAGCACTTTCGCCGCCGGAATCGTTTGATGTCTTTGCAGAAACTGATTTTGTCAGCGAAAGTGACGCTCCATAACTAACAATTTTGTCACACTCCAGCATTTTTTATGTACTTTAGTATATGAAGCAACTTTTATTCCTCTTTTCTTACGGTTAGAGGGATAATAGGGCGTTAATTTGTGTACCATCGATACAAAACAAATATATATCTTATCTTAATAAT